TTTTTTTCTAGAAGGTAGGAGGAAATATTTTATAAAATATATTTCCTCCTACCTTCTAGAAAAAAAACAACAAATTTCTTGAAAATATTGATTTTATTATCAATATTCTTGTAGTTGTGAATCACAATATCATAGAGAAAAATATTAAACTAAATTTATGTAACAAATAATAGCATTTTTAAATTAATTTCAACAGTACCTGTGCAATGAAGTGAAAATACTCAACAAGAACACTGGAAAATTAGACATCTGAAAGAATCAGTGCATATGCTAGTATATGTACATCTCCTTAATAGGCCTAGCATAGAAATAAATATGATATGGAGGCCGCTAATAAAGAAAGACAAATGACAATAAGTCTTTAACAGCAACTGCAGCAAAGAGACCACTTCAATGAGTGGAGTGAATTAAGCTGCAGCACTCATCAGCAGGGAGGTTAGGTTTTAGATTCAAAGTTCATCTACCAAATTAAAGTGTTGGTTTATGAATTTGGTGGCATAATAATTATGAGTTCAATCCCTGGAAACATATGGCAGATGAAAGATATATTGTAATTTTTCAATTTTCAACTTCACCACCATTATATTTTTCTGTCTGATTTAATTACAGTTGGATTAGTGCCATCATCATTGTTGTTACTATCATAACATTTCAGCTGTTATGCCTTCTAGCCTTATTCAGAGAACTTTGAACTAAATCCTTGATTTAATCAATAAGGGTACATTGTTCTCATTCTGTTGTCCATGTCTTGAGATGTTTAGTTATGTTCTTTTTTAGTATTGCTCAAAAGTTATTGCTTTGTCCTGTTTCCGCTGAGTGTAAGTATTTGTACTACCTGGTCAAGGGATTGACCTCACAATTACCATGTCACTAAATTCATGGACCTATGCTGTGGGATAATCCTGAACATAGAATTTGGAGCCTTAAACCTAATGTTCTTACTGCCTCCTGTTTTACAGCTAAAGCCTTGCATTCCAGTATGGCTCACCCACCACTGTTTCTCTCTCAATATTAATGGCTCCCATATGGTATTTATATCTATACTAGGCCCACTGATAAGGCTCTCATAGCCTAGCATATACACTAATTTTGTCAGACATTTGATTCTTCAGTGTTCTTCTGTCTAGTATTTTTACTTCATTCCAAAGTGGTTGTTAAACACACTTTTCTCCCTATTTAGGATAGACATATATGATTTCATTGTCTGACTCCTAATTACAACTTTTCAATGTTCCTCCAGCCTTACTTTTAGGGTTTGACTGGTTTTACCTTTTTATTTTTTGCCACAACTTCAAAGGATTGAAGTTCTTTGTTATGTTCTCATCTGTGACTAAGTAGTGATGTCTCTGTAAATGTAAGATTAAGCTGCTTCTGAATATTGTTATATCCTCTAGGGTTAATGTGTTGGTTTTTGAATTTGGTAGTATAGTAATTGTGAGTTCAATCACTGGACAGGATCATACAGACTCAGATTCACTGGAAACTGTACTAGCAATAACTAAGCAGTACTAAAAAAGAACAAGACATATTCCTAGACATGGACAGCAGAACAAGAAAAATCTATTCCCATAGATTAAATAAAGGGTTCAGTTTGAAATTCCCTGAATGTTACCTAGATAAATAGACACCTGAAGAAGGCTGATAGGTGCAATGGCTGAAATGTAATAGTAACAAGAATGAGGGTATTATTCCAGCTATAAATGTAAATAATGAAATTTAGTGTTTTTATTCCTCAAAGTAGGCACACAAAAAACCCATATCTTTATTGTGGTTTCCCAACAACCAATCAAATATAGCATATGCCTCATTGTTCATAAGATGTATGCAATATTTGATTGACAAAGTTTAGAAATTATACTGCTTATCTCATGAAGAATACTTTTTTGAATACTTTTATTAAATAAAAACAAGTTGCACTTGCTTCAAACAAATGCAAATTTAGAGTGATAATGACACATTTGCGGAAAATGGCTAACTCACAGGAGGGAGAGGTATAGTAATAAAATTTTTGTAGATTATCTTTCATTAGACTTGAAGATAACTCTGTAAAAGCAGGGATTAATTTGTCACTGCATTGATATTATGAAAAGGATTTTATTATTCTCACTAAAATGAAAACAAAAAACAATCAATGTTTTTCGATTCTGACAAATGTGTCAAATGTACTAATCTACAAAAATCATTTCAAAAACAATTTTCCCTATTTTTTTTTTTTTTTATGAGTGGTCCAGTGTAGTGCACCAAATTTATTAGTAGGTACTGCCACAGACTTCCTAAAAAAATTAATTTGAAGATAAAGCCACGCAATCATGTGCGGAAGCTTACTTAATGGCCTTTTTACTGATCTTCTAACTCATCTCAATTACTGTGCAAAGCCAATAGAAGTATTTAGACACTTGAAAGTGAAGCTTTAATTAAATTCGTTTTTTTTTTTAAATTTGTTTAAGTTATTTAGAAAAACAATGACAAGTATTCTTTTTTTATAGTGAAGCTGTAATAATGAATTCTTGTTTAAATAATAAAACAAATTTTAAATGGCAGCATTTCCGCAATTGTCATTATTTTGTAAATAGTGTGAAGACTACAGTTTTCTCTCACTCAACAAGTTTCCTTGAACTCCTCTTACACCAGAATTTCAGCCTACAACACCTTATCAACGAACATTCTTTCCAGTGAAACTTACTATTTCATGAACTGAAATATTTTCTGTGAGTCCAGATAAAAAAATTTTTCCTTCAAGTCTTAGCTAATTCAAATAACAGTTAAAGGGAAATAACTCCTGCTATATTGTTTGTATTTCTTACAGTAAAAATGAAGATTGTTTGTTATAAAACACCTTTTGTGTTGCTTCTATATTTTGTGGTATTTTACGTAAATATAAATTTGAGAGGTCACTTCAATAAAAGCTGGCCTCTACAATATCACAGGTCAACAAGTGTAAAGTAAATCCCTCTCTTAGAAAGCAAGCAGATTATTAAAAAAAAAAAATTAACGGAATACGGAACACCAGCAGTGCTATAATCAAGAAATTGGTATTTAGAGAAGTATAAAATATTTTAAGAATATCATTTTTTTTGTTGTTGTTGTTGTATACGATTTGATGAATCTTAGTTGAGTGAATAATTTTATTTTTTATACTACATTATTTAGTTAAAGTTTTGATTGAATACATTGCTTTGCCTTTATTTTTTTTTTATTATTTTCTTACCTGTTTGATGCCAATAATAATTGCACTCAATTCTTCGAATTTAAGAATTATTATATTATTTTTTTTAAATAAAAAAAAATCCTTGTTACGTACTGCAACGGGAGGAATTTCAAAATCGTACTCAAAAATTACAAGACAAGTAATTAAAAAAATTAAGTAATTAAGAAGTGTAATTTTTTTTTCTATTTATTCTGAAAGAAAATGGGGTAATTTGCTTTTTAAGCCCCACGCTAAATATCTAATAAAACTTTTCTAAATAGTTATATTTAGGTGTGAATTTACATGCTTAATTCGAAAATAACAATGAAATTTTGATAAAATCTACCGTTTTGGAGTTATCGACAATAAAAGTTCGGACTTATTCGCGTCGCGGCAAGCATTACTGGCGGTGTCTGCATATATTTGCTGCAGAATAAATTGTCTTGATTATTGCGTACGCAATGAGTCCTGAGTTACGCAGTAATTAAGACAAGTTAGAACCGTAAAAAGGCTGTTAACTAGTAATCCTCTCCGCAAATCTAATCAGCAGCGAATGTATGCAAACAACGCCAGTAATGGCTGCCGTGCAGCAACAAACATGAATGAGTTGTAACTTTTATTGTCGATAACTCCAAAACGGTAGATTTTGTCATAATTTCTTTGTTATTTTCGAATTAAGCATGTACATTTAAATTTTAAACCTATAATAAATTCACGAAATTGTTATTAGATAATTGGCGCGGGGCTTAAAAAGCAAATTACCCGAAAAATAACTAATAATAAGTTATGGAAGAAAAATTTATATTTTTGGTCTTATTGAATTTTTTATAAGGTTCGGGTCGAATTTTCCGCATGTTACCCTGAATCGGATAACTTCCTGATTTTTGGAAATATTTTTAACAGCGGTTAGCCATTTTTTACTTTCATTTCGGGGAAAAAAACGCATCCATTTTGATTTTGAATTTGGAGGTAGTGTTGCAATATTTTTCAATTAAATAAAAAAAATGTACACATCCTTCGACGTTGGCTAAAAACTATGGTTGTTAAGTTTAGAAATGACGGATTGGTTTGCGGACATTATTTTCAATAAAGCTTAGATTAATTTTGTGAATTTATTTTTTATGAAATGACCTGTTACATAAAAAAGCGAAAAATTGCTGAAAAATTATCGGCCCGACCAAGGTTGAGACTAGAACTTTTCAACCCTTCGTCGCACATTCGGTTTATTAGCTAAAAAACAAAGTGGAAATAAACGAGAAATAATTTTTTCTTCGCATATTTTATTTATTTATTTATTTTTTTTTTTTACACTGTTGAATAACAATTTTTATTTTATAATTTAAATAATAATTGTTATATTTTTAAAAATTTAAAAACAAACTTAGCTAAAAGACAGTTCAGAAAATCACTTAATGATATTTTTTATTGCTTAGTTATGTTTCTAAATAATTCTGAATTTAGTTCAGGCATTGAAGTGAAAATTTTAGCTGATTATAACTTGTTTTCCTGTGCTATGGACACAAAATCAGGGTCTAGTTTGGTATTACTTATGTTGTAAATGAAACCTTATTTTCGCGTCACTCGCTCCTACTTCAAGCAAAAGTTAATTTGACACACAGAGAACAAAAAAAAAAAAAAAAAGATTCCATAGAAATGCATCTACGATCTATGTAAGAAAAATCCACTTCTGTTTCACTTTCAGTAATAATGGATCTTCTTAACCTTCCAAGCTATTACGGAGAGTCACCTGAAGGACAACTTATTCAAAGAATAATTAGAGAGAAACAAAAACAAAATCAAAATTTGTATCTACCATTCTAGATATCTTGATGTCTTTAAGTCCAGGTTCTTTGGCAGAAACATGGTGTAGATTGAAGAGATCAGAGTGAATATAGCGATAATAAGCAGCACCGGATACGGTCAAAGTCAACCAAGTTATTAAACGTCGTTTTCCGAAAATATCTTGGGAATAATCCTTCCAATATCGTGCAGTATTGTTTTTTAAATTGTTAAGTGCATGTTTTGTGGAAAGGGGTTTCTTGTAAATTAACGTAAAAAAATATACTTTCGAAAATAAACTCCGCACACTACTAACACTTGTCCTCCTCATGTTAAAGTCACCCTGTTCTTCTTTTCCAATAAAAACAACAAAATAAATATAGCGGCTTCGCGATGCACTTTACCCTAGTTTGTTTTGTAATTATAAAAATAATAAAATATGATGACTTTTTAGTTTTTTTGTAGCGTTGACCATATAAATTTTTATAAATACTTCACATTTTCGAAGTGCAATGGTAAGGTTTCAACAAATTGGTCAATAAAAAATTAAAATAAAAGTGCACTTTTTTTACGCTCTATTTTGTTGAATAAAAAGACGGAAAAAACATTAAAATTTGTTAGAGTTAAATTAAATACAGCATAAAAATTTAACTAGCTTTTTGTAATATTTTTGCTGTTTTGTCATAATATTTTTGCAGTTTTGTCAGAAATGCAAAGAAAAAAGAAAAAAAATCATTTCTGCCTGAATTTCTAGGATAAAGAATTATCATTATTTCCATATAGGTAGAGACTTATTGTCATCCTCTTTGTTGTTATCACCGGTCTTCCTTTCTCAGGTGACTGTAAATGTTACTCTAACCTTGTTTCTTGATTTTTTTTTAATATACTCGAAGCATGGTAAATGTTAGAAAAAGGAAATAAGTCCACTTTAAAGGACTTTATGAATCTACATGCGAGATTTTATATTTTAATTTTTCTTTCCATATGAACACACACAATGAGTTTCTGTTTTAAAAATGTAATGCAGCAATGCTTAGTTAAATTTTTAATGTATATAATGTTTAATAAACTTCCGGAAACACAGTAACAATTTATTTTTTTATTGCACTAATAAAGTGGAAAATTACAAAAAGATGTCATTCATTCACAAAAAAAAAAAAGAAAAAGAAAAAAAGAAGAGTTATATCTCGACTAACGTTTACCGAGTACTATAGGAAAAGAAAAGCAATATTGCTCGCGCTAAGTAAAAACAAAGTATCTAATTAAATTACCGTGGTTATTTTTTTCATAATAATAATAATAAAAAAACACATTAGGTGCAAATAAATATTTTATAACATCAAACAGGTAAGAAAATAATAAAAAACAAAATCAATCAATGTATTATTGTAATCAAAAGTATTTTAATTTTAACTAAAAAATTAAAATACCTAAATGTAATATAAAAAATAAAATAAAATTACTTACACACACTTATTCTTAATGGGAATGTTATTAGCGATTTCTTTATAAGGAAACATTCGGTATCCATTTGTAGGAAATTCAGTCGTCCAGGGTTTTTATATTAAAAATCTGAAAGTCAGAATTCCAATCAATAATAACATAAAAATAAAGAAATTATGGATAATTAATAATACGCAAAAAAAACTTTAACTTAGAAAAGACTTAAATAATTGGTTCACAGCTAAAATTGAAAAAAAAAAAGAAGACTTTTAGCATCAGCGAAAATTCACTGATCCTCACTGCTGTTTGGAGATGATTCGTTTGAAGTCGCCGACATATTTCTTTCAGCACGCGTTGTGTGTGTGTGGGGGGGTGGAAACTGTGTAACTGTGGTGGTACTGAGCAAGCGAAGGACCGGATGTTAACACTCAGAGGTCTAGATAGCAAATGACCAATACTGGTCTTTGCGCACCAGGCTCGACGCATAAGTTCCGGTGGAAAATCAAAAAGAAACAAAAAGAATATAATAAGCAATTTCCACCAATTAAACGGCCCCGCGCCATATCCAACAGTTTGTTTCAGCATACTGACTCAGATCCGATGGATACACATAAATAGAACGATGAATTCACTTCTGGTCAGAAAGCCTTGAAGTTACCGTCATAGAATGTCGCTACGCTTTTCTCATCCATCAACCCGACGCCTCCAGTTTTCCTTCACCAACGGAGATATCAAATGACACCTACCAACCCATTGATCTCACCTTTCATCTCCTGGGACCTGCACGCCTAAACTTAAGTATTCACAAAATGACACTTTAATTCCTTTCATAATCTCATTTCTTTTCTTTGAATGAACATTTTAATAACGGACTTTGTGTGTTAATCAAGAAACATTATACTTATCATTGATGTGTATTTAAATATAAAGTGTTTCTGATATACCCTTCTCTTTCATATTTTGTTTGTTTATGTTATGGTGACCTCAATTTAATTGCTTGTTGAACCTTTAGGCCAAACTAGCAGCTGTCCATAAGTGACTGCTACTGCTTACCTACCTTCTTATACAAGCAACAATTACCAACGAATATTCACTTCCCACACCACCACATAACTACGGCATGGAGACAGTCGCATCTCTGCTCGAAATTTGTAGGTTTTTATAAGAATTTTTGTTGAAAGTACGTTCGAGAAAAATAGGGTTTATTTTTATTTGATTGGTATTTCATATGGTGATTTGTAGCGAGGTCCGCGACGAACGACGGGTCAGCAATAAAAATTTGAAGGATTTTCAATCAGATGTAGCTGACCCCACTACATTCATTTAACTTTGATTAGAAATTGCGTGGAAAAGGACAAGCAAAGACGCTGGAGGTCACCATCAAATGTGGCGGTCACATGCAATTTATATTTGACGTAAAATAGCACATAGCAAAAATACAAGACAGAACGTAATGGTTCAAAACATAACATTTTAATTTATTTGTTTTGATGTACATGCATATAAGCTAAAGGATTGATAGAGTTACGTTTCTTAGATTTGGGAAATATTTTTACCGGATTTCACGAGGTTGAATTGATTAATAAACTGTAGTTTTAGAAGAATAAAGTTCCTGTTGCATGTTAGGCAGTGTGAGTTGGAAAAGTTGGTAGAGTTCAGAAGAGTCAAGAGTTCGTACTTACGTGAATGTTGGTAATGTTCTTTAACGTCTGACCGCAAGGTCAAGACGAGAGTTCTTGAAGGTCACACTTTCGCAGCAAGGAAGGAGACGAAAGAGAAATCGGAATTATTTATTGTACAAAAGTACAAATATGGCACAAGGCCGAAGAGGGGAAAGGGGGAAAAGGATGGTTATCTTAACATTAAACTTAGCTAGCCGCAAACACTGACCCAAACATACAAACAATATTCCTTTCACGAAAACATTGTCTGTTGGAGTGGGGGAATAAAATGACAATTTAAAAAAAAAAAAAAAAAAATACAATGAGTATTTACAATGAGTAGAAAACTATGTACAAGAAACTAAAGAAAATAGTGTTAGTAATAAACCCACCCACAGCGCTGTGACAGAAACATCAGTTAACTGGACGAAATCAATGCGGGAATAGAAAAATGTAAAAACATTCATATATGCCATTCACACACTACAAACACACACTCAACCAAACACAACAACAAATACGAAAAACACTTGAAACAAAAAACACCCCACACCAACCAGAGAACTGATACCACTAACCACCTACTGACGAGAGGGATGGGGAATTAAACAAAAAGAAAAAAAATAGGTTCAGAAAAAAAAGGGGGGGGGCAATGAGCATACATACCCTAGCTAAGTTTACGTGAAAAAAGAGAAAAAACTAAAGCAAAAACCGACCTACTCTAACCTATACACGGGAAGGGTTGCCATTGTTCAACCCAGCAATCCCAATATTCTGACAGCCTAACCGGTATCAAAATCAAAATGCCACAAGTCAGCACCTTTCACTCTGCAGAGACGCGCAAGACTCGCCTATCTGTCACCAAATTCCAATGGATGGAGTCGTTTCCTTTCTGTCCTGATCTTGACTTTAAGCTGATGCTTAAAGAACAAGTTCAGTTGGGAAGAGGTAAACTTCTCGTCCCCATGAAATTCCTTCTGTCGTGTCGTCCATATCACGACTCGCATAACCCCCAGTAAGCATGAGAACACATAGCGTTCAGCCTTAGTCAACGGCGGTACTATATTGCTACAGACGGAACTGGCCTCGAGGACAAAGAACTTTCCGCGAGGCATGGGAACCATGATGTCTTCAACAAACTTGCACAACGGAGCTACGACACTACAATGAAAAAAGGCGTGACCTAGGGTCTCCACCTCCCCACTGCAGCGAACGCAGTTTGGCGACTTAACCAAACCCGCTGCACGAAGTCTTTTGGCGACCCAGAGGGCCCCTCGAATCAACAGCCAGGTGAGTGATGCCTTAGTGTTATTGAGACATTTCAACCCGGGCGCCCAAGGCCATATGCAGCGAGCCTCCCGCTTCGTCAGACCGAGATCGCCTATCAGAGCATCTTGAACGTTCCCCCTAACTAACATCTGATGTAATGCCTTACAGGACAACGGTTGGACGTCGGAGAGGCCGTCCTTCGCCCGTAAGAGTTGCTTGAGGGCAAGCCGACATTCGCGATAGAAGGAGTCCTCGGCTCGAGGAGTACGGCCGGCCTCCTCCTCGCACGAGCGCACACTTCTTAAGGATGGAAATTGTCTACGTGTGTCTTCATTCCAGAATTCGCCGTTCTCATCCAACTGCATACACATCCGGTCTAAGTAATGATGCGAAGCGTATGTCGACGAATCTCAACGCAAGGCATACCCAGACCGCCATCAGAAGGATGGAGGTAACAAATCTCGCGACTAACCATGGCGGCCTTGCTTCTCCACAAGAAGGAGAACAAGAGCCTTACAAACGCCAATAAAGTGTCAGACGGGAATGGAAGCACGGAGAGTCGGGTAGATGTGCGAGGCACATACTTCCGCCCTCCCCTTCAAGGAAAGATTCCTCCGAGTCCACAGGTGAATTGCGCGCTCAGCTTTCTCCCGCACCTCCGACC